TTCAAACGTGAGCAGTAAAACACTAAAAAAGGGATACAAATAAAACAACTAAAATGGGATACTAATGCTAATGTACAATGAAAACAAAAATATTTACGAAGGCACTAGCTAAGTTGGTAAAGACACGAAGTGTAAAGTCTACGGTGGCTTCTCGCCATTTCTGTTTTCTTTTATATTATGGTATAAAAACTAGTTTTTTTTTTTTACAATTGAATGTATTGTAGCAGCGGTCCCCCCGTCTGAAGAGTGCAGAGTGTGCAACTGCCACTTCGTTCATGACATCTGAAGGCGTATAGGTTTCCCTGCTTGTTTGCACATTCGTCACCAGAATATGAATGACTTTTAATGACATCATATCAGCAGCCATTGTGGCGGCCTTGCTGCGGAGCGCGTAGCGTAGCAGATATTTCACACCTTCGCAAACGTTGTCTCGGCAAAAAGTTGGAATGAGCATCACAAGGTGCGGTGACGTCATGTTGAAGTCATGTACAGATTAGTTTCAAACACGGTTTCAGCCACTGATCTCTTATTTGAACCACAGCATTTGGACCTGGAGACTAGGCCCAGCCACAGTTGCCACTATTTTTTTATTAAAAAGATAAGAAAGCTGAAATTGTGTTTTTGACGGAATCAAAACTATTTTCTACTTTTTGCATGCGTTCAAATAAGTTTTTTCTCGTCCCTTAGATACAAATATTTGTTTTCTAGCCACGAGGCAGGATGTCCAAAGACACTTTCGAAAAAAAAAAAAAGGAAAACACGACCCTCAAGGTCAAGGAAGTATGATTCGTGGCAACAGTGAGCACTTCTTTGAACCAATCCTCTTTTCTTTCGTATTTTACCCTGGGAGGCAGGACAATAAGGTTGAAAGCAAAGACGCGCGAAATCAACGGGTCACTTTTTTTTTTTTTGTAACGGTCCCTCACTTCACTGGCGAGGAGCTGTAACAATTTAACTGCATAAGAAATGGTAAATGTAATTATTTGGTTAATTTTTGTAATGCGCAAGCATCTGCTTACTTCACCTTCTTCAGTTTGGCAATATTATACTGCTGCAAGTTGAGATGTTTGTGTCTTATTGCCAGATCCATGTTCGCTTTTATAATTTTATATAAACGATGTGTAGGGTATGAAAAAAACGTTTACGGGGTTGATTTTCTTATTTTTTGCCTCAAAAATAAACTACTCATCGGCGAACGCACATTCTTTGCCAAAATGTAGCGCTCGCCTTCCGAACCAGATGCCAAAGTTTAGCACTAACCGTCATTTTACTCGAAAGTTATGTGATTTTTTTAAATGTTCAATGGAAAAATGGCGGCCGACAGAGCTTTCGATTAAACGAAGCTCTGTGGCGCCAGTTGCTGATAACAGACAACAATGGGCCCAATAACCTCTTTGAAGTTATATGAAAATTACTTGTAACTTTTAAATAATGTAACGCGGTTAGTACGTAAACTTTTTCAACAGATTCGAACCGCTAGCGCCACATTTGGGAGGGAAATGAGCGTTCGACGATGCAGTCAAATATTTTGTTAAGCAAAACACTGTAATTTTGTGTGTGTGTGTGTGTGTGTGTGTGTGTGTGGAAAGGGAGGGTGAGCGGTTTGGTGGGTGGGGGGTACGGAGTACATGTGCAGTTGTGGCTTTCAGGTGAGAGTTCAAGTATTGCTAAAATATAAAAAAGAGATTAAAAACAAAGCTGTGACACGGGCGATCGCAACCTTGATCCCAGGCGTGGCGCGGTCAACTCCCCATCCTGCAGAAATGCTATCAGATCGGATGTGCTAGATGGTACTAAGGTCGTAGGCGGTCACAGCTGTATTGAGCGCCACATGCGCTACAGTTGGGGACGAAGCCAACGAGGCCGCAGGAGCGAGCAGCCAGGGACTACGTAAGTGCACGTGGGCGAAGAGAGGAAGCTCCCCCCCCCCCCCCCCCCCCCAACCCCTACCCCCAACTTTTGTCGATAGGATACAAAATGTTCTCGGCAGGATGCAGCCTAAGGGAACACTGACACACTGTTTAGGCTCGCCGAGGTTTTTATCTGAGCATGACCTATAGGAGTTCATCTACACAGAACATCATTTTCTGCTACAAATTTGTTTTCCTTCCGCTCGAAAATATCCGGTCGTGAATTGACCGGTTTCTGTTGCGCTCACTCTCTTTTTTTTTATTTTTTTTTTATGGTCGCGTTGCGTTCAAATTGTGTATTAAATATATTTGAACTCGCGAGTCCCCTCAATTCAATTAATTTTTTTTTATTTATTCCCATAATACAAAATGGGCGATGGAGGCAGGAGTAAAAGCTGCAGAGATGCAGCTTGACGAAGCCCCCGCCCCCTACAGGTAGATCTGTAGTTGCGCTCTAAGGCGCATGTCCCATAATAAATATAGAAAATAATATGAACCTCAATTTTGTGACTTTCAAAAAACTGCAAATAGGTTGATCGAAAAAAAAAAAAGTTTCACAGATGACAGGAAGTACGTGTTTACGTCATGCTTACTATGGCGACGTACCGCGGGCTGGACGACGTGACGGCGGCGCATGACGGGCCAATGTTGCGACGGACGTGGGCTGCTACTTCGAAACAGTGGATCGTGGTACCGCGGAATCGATCTTCAAGCGCAGAACATCGAGCGGAAGGGATAGAAGTGCGAAACAATCGCACGACAAAGTGTGCGCCCCTATTCGTCGTATCGTCGTCTGCTGTCGCACACCAGAGTCGGGAAAAAAAACGCGGTCGGGTGTAGCCACGTGACTTCCGGTCATGAGTCTCCGTGCTCGTCTTTCGGTCTTGGTTTCGAGCAGTAGAGGTTTTTAGGTTTTTTTTCTGCTTTATTAAATATATACGTGGTTCTGCAGCAAAACATTAACTGGGCAGTCTCCTGACACCAGTATAAATCCTCTGGCAAAAAAAAAAAAATTTAAAACCTCGTCTTTTCCCGCTGTTTTTAATTCCAAAGTATGTACCAACTTGCCCAAGCCTCAACTTTAGCATTTTAGGGGCGTTAGTTTTCTTTTAGTAGACGCTTTGCAAAATTCCACCAAGCAACATTGGCGGTCACCATTGCCTGCTCCCGAAGCCCGTGATTGGATCCGAGTTCAAACCGAATGCTGACGCAACGCTCGTGTCCAATACATGCTCAGGGTATGTAAGGAAGTAACGGCGGACAGGCGTTGGCGCGAACTTTTCAAAGGGGTCTAATAAACCCTTTTGAAAACCTCGTCAAGCAACTATGGCGGTCGCGATTTCTTCGGCACCAAGCGTGTGATTGGATCCCGAGCCCTCACCGAACGCTGTCGCAGCATTCGTTCTCGATCCGAACTGAGCCGAGTTCTCGCCGTACGCTGACAAAATCCTCATGTCCAATAGATAGATGCCCAGAGTACGTGCCCGAACAATGGCGGACTGCAATAACCAAAAATAACGACGCACTTTTGGCGCCGTTTTATTGGTACCTTTTGTTTTGGTACGTTTTGTGTCGCCGACGTGTTTTCTGAAGGTCGACTGAACGATGAGACATATGAGGGTTTCGCCTTAATAGTAGACCTCTTGCAAAACTGAAGCGATCATAGCGGCGTGGTCGCGCGAAACACATCTTGAGAACCCAAGGGTCACGGTGTCGGCTTTGATGTGCATACCTCGTTTCACACCATCCTGCCATGAACAAATACAGTGCGTGCATGGTCGAATATGTGACTTTCTGTTAAATTTATAATACCGTAGGTGTTACCTACCAATACAAATATAATGTTGGAACACGTTTTGGGGGCTTCCAACCCACCAGAGTTTGTGCGCAGGTAAACGAAGGAAGAAGATGAGTAGTGGGCCGATCAGCCTGTTCCATCATCTTAATATCCTAGCCTCCTTAAATGATCCTTGACTGAAGAGGGTCACAGTGCGCTTCGGAGTTGTAGCTAGGCTGCCGGAAAGGTATGGGACGCGTTATTATTTGCGTTACGTATATTTTATAAAAACTCCTAAACATGACACTTTCGCGAAACGCAGGTGCACTTATGCAGATCTACGGTGCGTGTACGTGCTATTGCCCAAGTATCTATGACCGACACCATTTTATGTTCCAAGTAAGTTTTCTCCGGAAAGATATTTGTGGATTCATTTATACTATAGATTAGGCAATGTGACAAGAAATATGTCGAATTAATATGCCGAACTCATGATTTTTCCTACGCCACTGCTGCCGAAATGCATAAGAGAAACTTAGTTTCTTGTTTGTTTTTTGCACGTCTAACGATTACGCTGAACATAGCCTCCTATGCACGGAAGCTCTGCGCGCGTGGAACACGAGTCGGCAGGAGCTGTCTCGTGCACTGGCACCTGTCTCCTGCGAACTAAAGTTATAACGCCGTCATGCATGCGTCGAACACTCAGTGAGATGGGTTGATTAAAATTGTCATGCCGACCAGCCAGCACTCTGTACTGTCTTATTTGAAATCAATCTACCGATTTTTACAAGCATCACGCATCATGTGCGTAATAATGTAACACCCGAGAATGTGGCGCGGGAAAATGAATGCTATACACTTTCAAGTCATTTTACAAGTACCCCGTCATGTGCCTTTGTTTGAACAAAATTGTTCGTCTCGTGATACGAAGCCGCATGGGAACGCAATATATAAATGTGTTCTTTTATCATGTTCCTACATGAGTAATACTATCGTTTGTATTACTTCATTACAATAATTCAAGATGATAAAAACAGTTGACTCAAATTTGCATTTTTACACGTCAGTGCAAGGCTAAATAAGTTAGAAACCTAAGACGCAGCACGTGTATTGCATCTTATGGCCTTTAAATACATGAACATGACTTCAAACATAAACAATATCACATTTATATAACTTTAATGCATTTGGAATTGACAGGAAGAATCACGGCACTTTTATTCGTTGAAATACGCATGCCACGAGTTAAATAGAGCAGGACCGGGCAAAGAGAAATATCTCGCACGAAGTAAAGTACAGTTTCATGAGCTAAGTCATACTTTACGGGCCGCAAGAACAAAAAGGAATTCATCAGTAGTTTCCAGAACCTTTTCAAATCCTTTGGAAAGGAACACCTTCATCTCAAAGCCGGCGTCTGTAACGGCTTCCTTCAGCACATCTTCTGTGACATTCGCGTGGACAAAGTTCACTGTTCCCACGGGATAGCTCTTTACTCGTCCCGCGCCCACAAGGATAAGAAGGCCGCCGGGTTTCGCCAGTGTTCCCACGTTGCAGACCACTTTGCGGAAAGATTCGTGGTCTGCCGTGGCCGATTCCAGGCATCCCGAGGAAACAATGACGTCGAAGGTTTCCCTGTGTTCCTCAGGGAGCACTCCGGGCTTGAGGACATCGCAGGGAACCACTTTATGGATGGCCGAGCGCGTGCGCTCAAGTATTTCCAGCGCTCCCTTTTTGACGTCGCTGAAAAGCAGAACGAAGTGCATGTTACTTTTATGCAGGTATTATTGCTGACACTGTGTAGAGATATGTGAAGAAAAATTGAAGAAAAACTGTATCAGGGTTTTTGGGGTTTGGGGGTTATACTTTTTAGACCTGTCCTCAGACATGTGACGTGTGTAGCTAAAAGCAGGTGAATCGAAAGCTTTCACTGCAGACCCTAAGGCTCAATAGACCTGTCACTAAATTATCGAAACATAAATTAGAATGCTGGAAATGTAATTCTACGCGCCGTTCGCGCTCGTCTTCCCGTATAAAACATTGGAAGTAAATAATCAAATAAAGGCTTTCACGAACTCGCAAGGAAGATGAAATTCGTTTAAGGCTTTTGTTTTAGAACAGTAAGTACAGCAGACACCAGCACGTGCAGTGCATGTTATTACACGCAGCATGCTCTTTGGTGCTTGGGTAATTCGGCAAAAGGCATGTCGCCACCTTCGCCTAGTTTCTTCTTCATGACGAGAACCAAAAAATAGCAAACCGAACAAAACTGCAAAACACTGAACATCTGTTGTTGTTGTTTTACGACGAAACGTTTCGAGTGTTTTAATTTTAGTGGTTGGTAAAGTTTTCCAAGAACGTTATGGAGAGCCCGGAATACGGAGATGCACGATGGCTCCTGGCGAACGCACAAAACGCCAACCGAGAGGTCCACATGGCAAAACACGAAGCAGCCTGCTAGCTATATTAAGTCATATGATATGACATAATATAGCTAGCAGGCTGCTTTGTGTTTTGCCATGTGAACCTCTCGGTTGGCGCTTCGTGCGTTCCCTATCATAAATGTTAATTTCTCAAGAAATAATTTCAGTTAACCACAAAAAAAAAAAAAAAAAAAAAAAAAAAAAATGGGGGAAGGGGGGGGGGGGGCATCAGAATGGTGGCAATACTAGCCGGGAAAGACGATGCAAACAGAGTAACTCTACTCATCCGTAAAATATCCAAGTATGGCACCCCCAAATGCATTTTTTTTTTATTTTAACAAAGAAATGGACATAAAGCTTAGACATCACCCTCAAAATATGAAGCTTGAAGACAGTGTATTTGCAGGAAAAAAATATTATTTTAAGAAGGGTGAATTTGAAATTCCCGCACTCCTCGGTGACGTCAAGATAAATTTAACCCATTATTTGCGTTATTTTTTTTTTCTTTTTTGCTGCTTCCAGCTTCAAAATAATGAAGCGGAGAAGCAGGCGTGGCTGGAGCAAATTTCTACAGGAAAACTGCTCGGTGCATGAAACGCGATCTTACAATTCTATATTGTCGCGGCGCCACAGATCTTAAGCAGGCGAAACAACCGACGACTTGGCGACGCCCTCATCGGGAATATTTGTCTCTCGATCAGACATCTCGTACGGTACCCGAACCGACCTCTGTGAACCTTCAACTAATTCCTTCTCGAAGTTCGAAAAGGCGTCTGGTACCAAAAAAAGTCACCTCATTTTTTGAGCCGTCGCCAACATCGCGCTCGCTATAGAACGGCACTACTTTTAGAGATCAAAGCAAATGAGGCAGATAGACTACAGGACGTCTACGCATTGTCGTGACGTCTACGCATTGACGTCACGACGGAGTCATTCCGGAATTTGATTTTGGCATTTCGAATCCAAAGTCGTCATGCGCAAGTCACGTTCTATAAAATATGTTTTCTTCGAGCAATTATTGAATGTTATAAAATTGCAACTTTTGCAACCTCCATATTTCTGCATATTAAACCACTGGTGGCGACGCGACACACGATCAGAAAAACGATTACAGGGAAGCGTTTAAGGCAGCGAAAATACAAATGTGTGTGTGTCAGTGTTCTTTTAAGGTCGTCAAATTCGACGATAGACCTTTCCTAAAAAGCACGAATCCTGAACAGTGGCGAATCCTGAACAGCAGGGTATTTCACTCGAGTTCTCTGCTCCATGTTATCAAACAACTGAGGGTTTGGCTAAGCGAGCGTGTCGAGACCGTTGATCAATACATCAAGATCAGGCATCTACATAACGCGTTAGTGGTAACTGAGTCGGAGTAACTCGTTACTAGTAACAAATTACTTCTACTCAGTTACTTTCTTGGGTAACGAGTAACGTATATTTAGTTACTTTTTGGAAAAGGGACGAGTAACGTGCTTAGTTACTTGTAAGACCAAGTAATGAGTAACGTGCTTAGTTACTTGTAAGACCAAGTAATGAGTAATGTGCTTAGTTGCTTGAAAGACCAAGTAATGAGTAACGTGCTTAGTTACTTGTAAGACCAAGTAATGAGTAACGTGCTTAGTTACTTGTAAGACCAAGTAATGAGTAACGTGCTTAGTTACTTGTAAGTCCAAGTAATCAGTAACGGTATTTCGGTAATTTTGAGGAGTAACTTGCACAACATCTTCTAAAACAGCCTTGTCTTAACTGTAACCTGAGTATGCGTCTACTGCGACAAAGGCAGATGGGCGACCCGAAAAACAACTAAACCGTATGACAGTATAGCAACGTTTATCGCTGAACACGTCAGTCGAACTCTACAGCTGGGAACGCCCTTCATCCAGAGAACACAAGAAGATTTGATGGTTGAACCTTTTAGAATCGTGTACACACCGAATGTAAACCCGGTGGTTTCCAACGCGGGAAGGAACAAAACCCATTGTCAACTCGGAACTTTAGAAGCAGAGATAACAAAAGAGAGAGGAGAATCCCCGTTTCACCAGCTCTTCCTGAAGCATAACACTGCCGCTTCTTCAAGCGCGTCAAAAGAACCACCTTTAGCGTTGCCGAAGATGTATTCTGTGTGAAGAGGGAAAATATAACCGCTAAAAATTTTGAGAGGCAGCTACTGCTTAGATGCAACTACTAGTGAAAAGGGAACAAGAAACCATGAAACAAGAGCAGTTGTGTATTTGGTCGTCAAGGTAATGAGAAACGTAACTGGCTACCATTGAGGCAAAGCAACGCGTTCCTCTTGAAAATTAGTAACGAGTAACGTATTTAGTATAGCTTTTTGAGTGAGAGACGAGTAACGGTACTTAGTCACCATTTTTTTGGTAACGTGTACATGCCTGATCAATTTGGTATGATGTTTTCTTGGTGGTTGGAAGTGCTGCCTTAAAGTAGCCGTGTCTACCAAACTCATCTTACACTCAGGGCGATGTGTGTGGCCCAAACTTTATGGTCATTGGGAAAGTTTTTTTCTTTTCTAAGGACTCACCAGATGTCGAGTTTGAAGAGGAATCGCTACTAAAAGCTGGGCTTCATTTTTTAGATCGAGCCCTGTACTTTCTCCCCACGAAGCTGGCAACGCGACCTCAAATATAACACTTTTCATGGTTATTACCGCGTTCTGAAAGCAGCTGCGTAGCAGAGTATGAGGAAGACACTTTGGAACCGTATAACAAGACAATCGAGATTGCTTCGTTTAGAAACGGTTTTATATTATCCCAATTAGAGAAGTTCTCAGGTCCAGGTGGGTGAAGTGGCTTTAGCGATAATCGAAGATGATCCGAAGAAGGAACTAGGGTCCAATAAATGACAACTGATTCACATACGCCTATGGCGCAATTATTTATAGACCCCAACATACCCATAACCTTCCAATGCAGCAACCATCTCAGCACGGAAGGTCCAGTCGATGGCATCTTCGTCCTTCTTGAGCCACTTGTTAAGCTCAAGCCTGTTGTCTTCGACTAAGTCGCTCAGCACAATATGCTTGAATCGACTGGAGGCCAAGAGTGCATTCAAGATCACCGGGCCGCTGCCCAAGTCCAGCAGACTCTCACCTTGAGCTAGACACATAGAAAGTATTCCAGAATTTGATACTTGCCAAGCCAACAAACAGAGATTCAAAATTTTTCTGGTCCTTTTTTTCTTTATTTTCAATATCCCAGTTCACGTGCATGTCGTATTTCGTACTCACAATGAATGTACTATGAAACCCTTAATGTTCGCTAGCCCTTAATTTTCGCGAATTTGACGAATTGAAAAAATTTCGCGATATTTAAGTTCGCGCAAAAATTTCGGCGTTTAAGAGTCTCAATGCATTTGGAATTCGCGAAATTTATTGGTCGCAGTTATGTGACCGATTCGCGAAAAATAGGGCCCGCGAAAATGAAAGGTTTTAGAGTATCTGCTAAAGCGTAATATTATAAACACCTCGCTCAACTCAAAATCGAGGTCAAGGCTGTTCTCCGATTACGGCCTGCCGAGGTATGGCACCATAGCGTTACTGGTCAAAAGAACGCCTAGATTTGGAGGAGGCCATAAGTCGTTTTCGAGAATGGCGGGCACCTCGTGTGCCCTTTGGGTACGTTCCTCCCGCGCAGCTTGGTTTCCCTTCCATATGCTGCGTTGTTGCTTGTCTCATATAATGCGATACCCAAGTGCTGCATCTTCGGTGTCATCCAAAAAAAGGTGAACGCGAGGCACAGTTTGTACACGAGCGTTGCGTCAGCATTCTGCTACGTCTCGTGTCCCGTCGCTGGGAACGGGAGTTTCAGTCGAACGTTGATACACCATTCGCGCACAAGCGTGGTCGCCCGCTTGGGTCTTTTTTAATAAATGCTAAAACTTTAGCATTATACGACTTTCTTATCTACAGTCAGTGGTGGATTTAGAAGGGGGGGAGGCACGATATCCTGACCCCTCCCTTGAATTCCGCATGTGCGAAAAGTCAGAGAGGAAAAAAAAGGTGGGAGCTGTGTTTTCTCAAACATCTGGTGCGTTGACCCCACCTCTCTCGGAGTGCCCAATTATATTCACGGCGATCGCTTCGTAATGTCTTCTTCGGACCCTCTGTTTTACAGCGGTAGGTGTTAGTGCTCGTTCCCGAAAAGAAATGCTAGTATACGAACGCCAAAGTCAACTTCAGAGCAGATGCAGTATTCCGCCTCTCCCCATCGTTCCTCCCACCACTGCAAGGCTCTCGCTCTCGCTTCCCCATCTCTTCCCCCCTGTAGGCCGCCTCTTTCCTTGCTCCGGTGACGCTCTCCCGCCGCCGTTGCGCCGTTGCGAAATACCCGCGTGGTAGCCTTGTGCGGACACGCTCCCTCTCTTCTCCACTGCCGCCGCCCAGGTTCCGTTCTCGTGCACTCCCGCGCCACTACAAAACACGTCGTGCACGCACTTCGGCTTGTTCCACCACAAACGGAATCCCCCGTTCTAAAGAAGAAAAAAAAAAGCGTTTTAGCCAAAAAATAACACAAAAACACGCCTCTGTGTCGTTTTCAAACATACGCAACATCTCGCACAATCGTTCCACCAAAGCACACATCTCCTCGCGCACGTCTCCTTCATTAATTCTACTCAAAGCGAAAGAACCCATTGCAAGCATTGTACAGTACACTGGCCGATTGAAGCATCTCCTTCAACATGCCTTTCCACAACGCAGCAGGTATATCGCTGTCAATCGCACTTTGACTCGTCGCTTTCTTTTGCACGATCACTGTGGCGGGATTGTGATGCAAGGAAGGAACACGCATCAGACAGTCTCTCCAGACTGTCTTTCGTATGATGTATTAAGCCTCGGCTAATAAAGCAAACAAAAGAGAGTTTGCAGGCACTCTCTTCTAAGGCTTATGTAACTTGTGGAAGGGTCCTGTCACGTAGGCCATACAAAAACTGTCTGCAGAAATGTTCGCATGTGTATGAAGCAAACGTGCTTCGAACATGTATGAGGCGTGGATAATAATTATGTCATTATGTCTCAAACAAACGCATTCATTTTTTTTTTTTGACGTGATGCACGAGTAGTGTGAATGCGATTCGCGGTGGTGTGCGGAGTTTCGTTTCCTGCACTGACACCCTTTAAAACCCAAAATAAGGAAATGTCTTCATCTTCGACAGAGTGCCCGCTCTTCGCCGCCAAGGTATGCTACGGGCGTGCACTCTGGGTTGGACTATAATCTTGCCTCGAATTGTGTAGTAAGTATAATACTTTCACGGTGCAAAGAAAGAGAAAAAAAAATGACCAGCAAACCTGCGTGTTTTTTAATCGATCATCTTGGGGGAGGTACAACTCTGGAAAGTAAGAAAACTTAACATTCAGAAACGCTAAATGTAATTTACCCCTTTGAAGTATGCGATGAACTTTTTCTATGTACAAAGTGTCAATCATTCCTTGTAAACGACCATATGTGTCCATATATGTCCGGGGCAGAAATTTGTTCTTGTAGACATCTCTGAGGGCTAGGGTTTCCATGCTTCCCAAGGCGTCCGAACTGTAACTCCTGAAAACGAAACAATTCTGAGGTTGACATAGTATACTACTCTCGGCTTCATATCGATATTGAGCACTTTGTATATTAGACATACATTTTTCTTTTTCGCTCTGGAATGATACAATTTCCGCTTAGTGGCATGTGTACTTTATCACGGCGTCAGCTCACTCAGTTTTGCTTCAGACCGCTTTATGCAAAAACTATTTCAAAAACTGGAAGGGGTCATTCGGTAAAGTTGGTACCCACTCAACAGGGCAAGAACAACAAAAAAATGTATAATTCCAGTGAAGACGCATACTTAAAGGTGACAAACGCCTATACTTAGTTTATCCTCCTTATAGTATACCTTCCTTATTTATTTGAGGCGACGTTGCACGACAGCCGTTGCAACCCAACTTAATTTTTTGTCGCGTTACTATTCCGGCTGCTGCAATTTATTACCTGTGTATTCGTGGATGTCAATTCTAGTGACTCGGAAACAAGTAGAGTCTGGGAAAGGTAATTCATGGCGGCCGAATCCAAAACTTTCCGAGGTAACTGTTGTTATGAATGGCCCCCGGACCAGACCCTCTCGATCTAAACCACCCGGCACTGGGGAACCCCCTTGAGAATCGTCGCCATATGGTTCCGGTCAGTTGAGATTGAGCCCGGAAACGAAGCGAGCGGCGACAAAGGGATGGCTTTCGACGGAGGACCACCGTGTTGATGCCGCCACACCTAGGCGCGAAGCTGAGCCGGACCCTTACTTCTGGCGGGGATTACACTGGCCCGAAACGGGGTCACCCGACGCAGGAACCGGGGATAATTGTGCGAAGATTCCGGATGACGGTGCGCCAGCTGCGGGAGCTCCGTGAGGGTGTGTTCAGCACGGATCATCTTCGGACGCCACTTGCGGTTGTTCCGGCCCAACCCTTTTCGTGCCACAAAGCCGCCTAATGGAGAGATCGGCACCACCTCGGCCAGCGTCGTCTCCCGGGCTGAGAGTGGACGCTTTGTTGTCGCCTCCTCGGCGCGGCATTCGAGGGCGGGAGTGACTCGGCGCCAGGATGTGATGTCCGGCCGCTACTACACTGTGTGCTTGTGCGTGCTGGGAAGACGACGAAGAAGTACAGCCAAAGGATATCTGCGTACCTCGCTCCAAGGAATCTGGCCTAATATTTCATTACCGCCGACAGGACAAGACGAAAACCTTTTTCGGATCCTTAACATAATCAGCAACGAGAATACCCCTTCATCAGCACATAAGGTGGGCCACCCCGTCAAGCCGACACAGGCTTGGGGTTCCACATCGACTCAACTAACATGGCCGACCAACCTGGCATTCGAATGGAAACCAATCAATTGGACGCAGAGACCAGTCATGACGACTCAGCTACAGAAACCTCGATGGACGAACTAATCGAAGAAGGCAACGCACCCAACGATGCTGAATCTCTGGATGCAGATTTCAAAACGGTGAGCAGCAGAAAAAGCTTTAAACGAAAGAAAGGACGCCAGAACGGCAACAGCTCCAACTCAACCGATGACACCATCCTATCTCAATCACAACGCCAGACTGGTCTGACCGTTATGTTGGCGCCTAAAACCCCAGAAACGGTGCTAACAAAACTGAGTAGCATAAAACTTTCCAAAGCCCTCGATGAAATCATTCCCGAAGGCGTCATACTCATACGATATAACCTACGCCTAAATCTCATCGCTGTCGATACTCGAAACGGTCAATCAACCAACGCACTTCTCCGTCTTAGCAGCATCTGCGGAATCCCGGTCGCGCCTTATGAACCGCGGAATAGCTCCTCTCTCGTCGGTGTCATCAAGAACGTCTCTTCTGACGTAACAGACGCTCATCTCAATACATCGTTACAAGCAAGCTGCCCCATATCGAATGCTCGACGCCTGGGGAGCACTGAAGCTGTACGGATAGTATTTTTATCCCCATGCTTACCGACGCACGTAACGCTAGCACATGTAAGATACCCTGTGACGCCTTTCAAGGATCGCCCTATCCAGTGCTCTAAATGCGGAAGCTTTGGCCATCGTCCAGCGGTGTGTCGTCGTTCTGCAAGGTGCAGCAAATGTGCAAGCGAAAGCCACACCACGGAACAATGCAAAGAAGACCCTAAGTGCGCAAACTGCGGAGAAGCACATCCTTTCACATCCACAGAATGTCCGAACTGGAAGCGGGAGTGCGCAATAAAACAATATCAGATGGAGAAGAAAGTAGACTACATCACAGCACGTACAGTAGTTTGCTCTGGAATATACTCGAAACCTGCAGTGGAATACCCCCCCAAGAAAAACGAGCCCGGTAATCGTAATGTCCAACAAACTAAGAAAACCCCGTCGATACCTGGCTCTACACGTGGTTCAAACCAACTTGCAACAACTCCACCGTGCGGCACTCCTCAGACACCGTCAACAACAGTTCTACAAGTCCCAACAGCTGCCTGTAGCTCCACTCCTCAGAAAACGTACACAGCAGCGCTACAAGGGGAACCAAGACAAAGCAAGGGAAAACCTACTCAACATCCAAATCCCGTGCCAAACAACAGAGGTGTAGAACCCCCCAAGCAAGCAAACCTGCATCAGAGTCAGCCTTTCGGCGACAAGCCCACGCAAGCTTCCAAGGTGTCTGCACCAGCCGAAAAATCCGAGGGCATTGGAGCTCTCCTTAAATCCATCTCTGAAGTAATCCGCAAAATTCTTCAGCGCTTTACATCCCCCTACGCGTTAATTGCCCTTAAGATCATGGACTCTTTCCTACCCATTATTGAGACATGGTGTGGTTAAAACACTTGGCCTTCGCATCATTTTTATTTTTTTTTTATTATCATTATGTCATCCTTACAAAATTTTAAATCTTGCACACTATTTCAGTGGAACGCGCGTGGACTTTGTTCAAAGCTGTCTGATTTCCGTCAGCTAATTAGGGAACATCAATTTCCTCTTATTACTATTTCCGAGTCAAGAGTTGATGACTCATTTCGCCTCAATGGCTATCAAATATATCAGTCCGAAAGAGGCGGGGAGCAAAGTAGGTTATTTCTCGGATGTCGAACTGACGTTACAGTAGTCGAGCACACTATTGCTCCCCATCCAACAAATGAATATATCTGTGCCACAGTAGGACTTGGGAAAACCAAACTGACTATAATCACAGCCTATATCCAACCGAATGTCCCTTTCGATTCAGGAAGACTTGATCAAATTTTGCAAACTACTCCAACCCCTCACGTCGTCTGTGGAGATTTCAATGCCCACAATCAACTTTGGGGCAGCAGAAAAACAACGTCACGAGGTACAGCTCTTGCCGACCTCATGGAAAAATATGGGCTTCTCTGTCTTAATGACGGAAGTGTAACATTTCTAAAAAATGCGAAATCAGGAAGCTGTCTCGATGTTTGTTTCGCATCCAGCGACCTCTTCAACAAAATGTCCTGGCACACGGACCTTGAAACGCGAGGAAGTGACCATTATCCAATACTCATGGCATTAGAAGGAATACCCTCAAGGAAGAAGCAACTACAATCCATCAACTGGGACAAATATAGAGAAATGGCAAACCAAGGCATAACAGCTGCGACAAGTGATGATGAATTAATTCCAACTTTATCATATTCCCTTACAGAGGCAACATTTTTTTCCTTTGTGCGTCAGGTTGAAAATGCATGCGATCAAGAATACTTAAGACTACGTGCTTTAAGACGGAAAGCAGAGCGGAAAGCTCTTCGTACGAAAGACCCGGTAGATATGCGAGCTTCACGACGGGCACAATTACACATTCGGAGACATCTCGAAAAATTAGCGAAAAAGAGGTGGAGGGAGATATGCAGAAATCTCGATGTTCGTAAGTCGTTTACATACATATGGAAAATTATCAGAGGTCTAAGGAGAAGCCCCCAGCAGCGATATCCATTTAAAGCACTCTCACTACGTGAAAATCAAAGTGAAGTCGATACTGCGAACAATTACTGCGCTTTCCTAACAAGTGGTGGCATACATAGTAGTACTATCTCGACTCCGGGACCTACAACACCTGCTGCAACAAACGAAAGTCTAAATTTGCTCTTCACTATTGATGAGCTAAATGCAGCAATTCAAGGTGCAAATAATTCAGCGCCAGGTAGAGATGGCATTACGTATAACGCCGTGGCACACCTATCCCAACATTCCAAACTCAGACTTCTTGAATACTACAACAATTCCTGGATCAAAGGAGCCTTACCACAAGTGTGGAAAATTGCAAAGTTTGTGCCGATTTTGAAGCCTGGTAAGCCGCCCACTAGTCTCGAATCTTTCCGACCTATTGCACTCTTAAGTTGTGTAGGAAAGCTAATGGAAAAAATGGTACTCGGTAGAATTTCATGGTTTTTAGAACAAAACAAATGTTATTCAGAACAAATGAATGGCTTCCGCCACGGACGGTCATCTACAGACTGCATCATTGATCTTACAACGAGTGTCGAAGAAGGTAGAGCCAAAGGTCACACGACCACTGCACTGTTTTTAGATATTACAGCAGCATTTGATTCTGTTCAGCATGAGGCAATATTAATGGCTCTCGCAGATCTAGGACTTGGAGGACGCATTTATAAATGGATATACGATTATCTCAAATCCAGAAAAATTTACATTGATACTTCAGAAGGAAGTTCCAACTATTTTGATGTTGTCAAAGGAGTACCTCAGGGTGCAATACTAAGTCCCACTCTATTCAACATCACACTGCTAGCACTAAAAAAGCATCTTCCCCGAAGAGTTAGTATTAGCATATACGCTGATGACATCTGCGTATGGTCTACTTCCCGCTCTAGGCTAACTGTAAAGCTGCGGTTGCAAAAATCTCTCCATATATTGGCAAGTTTTCTAGGTTCCAAAGGCCTCCAGATCTCTCCCAAGAAAACAGTTGCCATGGCATTTACGAAGAAATCTATGAAAAAGTATCCGATCTTTTTAGGCGGACATACAGTTCCTTACGTCACAGTACATAAATTTCTAGGGATCAACATTGATCGAAATCTCTCATGGACGAAAGAAGTTAATTCTCTAAAAAAGCGAATCACGGGAGCAACCAATGTTCTACGCTGCCTCGCAGGAACAGCTTGGGGATGTAACTGCAGATCAATGATTCTACTGTACAAATCTCTGGTTGAAGGACTAATAAGGCACTCTATTCCACACCTAACAAATATAAGCCTGACGAGTAAACGACAGCTTCAAGGGACGCTTAACAAATGCATTCGAATCTGCCTTGGTCTACCAAGAGGTTCATCTGGACCTGGCACGGTAGCAGAAGCCAGATGCCTTCCTTTGGAAGTATTACAGAAACAAGAAATAGTACGAATTCATTTACGCCATAAAACTCAGCATAAGAATCACTATCTTTCTAAAATACACATAAAACGTCCAAACTCCAGCTATGGGGATACTTTAGGTCGAAATATTGACAATATTCCAAAGCAGGCAACTTTTACTGACTACTCCAAAATACCTCCATGGACGCTTCGAAAAATGGATATTAAACTAAACATCCCCGGAATCCTCGCAAAGCACCAACAGAGTAGCTTAGTTATGCTATAACTTGTAATGAGTTACATATATGAAACTTACACTAGAACAACGCACATATATACGATGGCTCAACGACGGCGACAACTTCATCGTCAGCATTCTTCGTTCCATCGAGATTTCTTGCAAGATCTTGTCGTCTAAACCATCATACATCATCAACAGCCGCTGAGCTTCACGGAATTAAGGAAGCAATCAAGTATATATGCCAACAACCACCACAAAAATGGACCTTATTTACAGATTCGAAATGCGCTTTACAGTCGCTCAGTCCTATTGGGAAGAAATCAATGTATTCGATTTATTCCCTAGAAATAGCTGAGTACCACCACCTAGCATTCGAATACGGTCACCAAATAACCTTTCAATGGATACCAGGACATTCCGGTATACGGGGTAACGAATGCGCTGACAAATCAGCCAAGAGGGCCCACCAGCACATCTCAACACGAATGGTTCCTTTTACGAAAGGCGATTGCACATCTCTGACAAGACAAATAGCAAAAAGTGCACGTGAGATGCTTTGGTTCTCACCAGATTCTGACTACAAATTTCTCTATGACATAGACCCTTTATTAACAACACAACTACCAAGCGATCTACCACGAAATTTAGAAACTCTTATACATAGACTTCGCCTCAACTGTGCGTACACGAAGAACTATCGCTTTAATATAAAACAACGCGCGACCCCGGACTGTGAGAAATGCGGTGCGCCGGAAACCATCAGACACATTCTACTCACATGTCAAGCATATGAAAATGAACGCAAAGTTTACAAAAATTCTACGAATGCTCTGGACTGCAGACCTTTCGATCTACCAAAGCTCCTCGGACCTTGGCCTGCTAAGACACAACGAGCAGCCCTAAAAGCTCTCTTTAAATTTCTCGAAGACATTGACTTGCTGACAGTGCTTTAATTCTTTTTCTCATCTTTCTCTCATATCCCATTCTGAAACTAGACACTATAGCGTGTATATATTTTAACGTTTCATCTCATCATCATTGACCCTTTGTCGATCGTCTTTCTGTCCCCCCTCGCCTTCCCTACCACAGAGAAGCCTGTTAGAGCGCAAAGCTCAGACTAAACTCTCTGTTTCAATAAAGATATTCTCTCTCTGTGCGTGCTAGTGGGCGGGGCCTGACCAGTTGGGGAACGGCGTCCTGGCCTAGAGACGTAGGGAAGGGGTACCTTATAAAAAGAGCGGTTTTACGCGCTCTCGGTGTGTTCTCACGTTGTTCTCATGCCGAACGGCAGACTGTACATAGTATGTAAATAAACAGTTGAGAAGAGACACCCTGGCTCGCTACCAACTCTGCCCGATGTCCTGGGCGACGCATGGCTCCAGGGGAGATCGACTACATGGACAAGCCCCGAGTCACAGCACTGTGTCAGCACATCCGGTGCGAGCTGTGGCGTGCACGCGAGGTGCGTCCGCTCGAGCGCTTCACTCGAAAAACAAGACCCCCACAGAAAACATGCGTCCGGGGCCCTAGACTTGTCAAGCACAAAGTTGGAACTCAAGTTTACGGAGAGAGCCAATTGGGCTCTCCCGACAATGACGCCACGGTTTTGTCACCAAAAACCATTCGGCGCGCTCCGCGAACATTCGTCTCAAACTTTGTTTGAGACGAAAGTTCACGGTATAATTAATTTGCAGTATATATAACCAGGTGGTCCAATCGAAGCTTCTCTCAGGTTTCCAGACCATTTGCGTTGCGCGTTCCTGGGTGGGTGAAAATGCACGTGCGATTCCGAGGTTACGAAATTAGGTTTGTTTCACGTGCATTCTGCGTTCGCTCTAAGGTTTGGGGAACAACATGCTTATGATTGAGTAATGTCGGTGAGACACGCTTTTGACCCAAATCTCAGTGTCACACGTGTTTCTCACGCCCTTAGTTAGTCTATTATCTACACACTGGCTTCTTAGCCTTGAACACTAATCCTACACACTTGCAACAATGAAGAGAAATGTAGCGTTCTAACCTCGTCTTATATGAAACATCCTTCAGGTGGCGACTTCCAAGTCTCAAGGCGGCAGTAGTAACTTTCAGCACCCCTCTCAAGGCCATGATGCTTGAAACCACGTTTGGCGTCGTATTTTCTAGAAACAAATATATTTTTTGTTTAGTAAATGTTCGGAGATCCAACGAAAATGTATATATTTTGGCAGCCAGTATCTCAACGCTTGCGCTGTATAGGGAGTATTCACTGGACGCCATATTTGTGAGTACTGTCTGGAACGCATGCTCAGAACGAGCTCAGATCAATAAGCTGCTTAGACCGGCACTCTTGATGGTGCGGAATGCACGTTGCAAAAGAACTGTGGAAGCTCGCCATCAGCACGCGCTCATCATTCGCGCACACAGCTATGAGCGCACGCGGAATACATTTTTTTTTTTATGAATGAATGAATTATCGAATCTTTGCTTTGCTTGTTCAAAAAGGATTGCTACAGGGGCAGAAAGTTCCAACAGGCACAGCTCGACAAACCCCGGCTGCAAGGTAGAAATTTTAAACGAGGGATATGGCTGCAAAAAAAAAAGTGAAAGCCGTTTACAACTCCCTGTAACACCGAATTAGAGCGCAGCTCTTGAGGAGGAGGAGGGAAGGGTACTGGGGCGGTGAAGTGACCTGGGGGGGGGTCACGTGACCTTGGGGGGTCACGTGACGATGCCGATGATGTCATCAGTGACGTCACTGATGACGTCATCAGTGACGATGACGATGCGGACTCCGATGACGTCGTCAGCGATGATGACGATGACGATGCGGATGTCGGTGACGTCATCAGTGACGTCACTGATGACGTCATCTGTGATGATGACGATGACGATGCGGATGCCGGTGACGTCATCAGTTACGTCACTGATGACGTCATCAGTGATGATGACGATGACGATGCGGATGCCGGTGACGTCATCAGTGACGATGACGTCATCGGGGAGGTCACGTGACTTCGGCGGGGGTCACGTGACCTTGGGGGGTCACGTGACCTCAGGGGGGTCACGTGACTTTGGTGTCACGTGACCTTGGGGGTCACGTGACCTTGGGGTGACCTTGGGGGTTACGTGACCTTGGGATGACCTTGGGGGACACGTGACCTTGGAATGACCTTGGTTACGCCGACGCCGACGGCGACGCCGACGCCGCTCAAGCCGGGAACGGGACCCTAAGAGCTGCGCTCTAAAAAAAAACTGAATATACAGGGTGTTTGGTGATAATTCGACCAAACCTAAAAACAAAGAGAAAAAAAGCTTGTCTCAATTATTGCGATAAACACGGGAAGCACAGATTGTGTCACGGGTGTAATATGCGTGCGTTATGAGTTGTTATGCTTGGTTGCGGGGGCAGCTTTCGGTGGTTTCGGATGTTCTGCACACACGACACTCTCGCGAATTGTAGGTTCATAAAAATGATCGGGACAAGTTTAAATGTCTTCAGGTCTTCAGAGTCGGGTCTGACATGAGCATGTTTGATTGGGAAGTTTTCCATGGGTCCTGCTTTTTTTTGGGTTCGTGCATAAGATTTGAACTCATATTGTCACGAATGAAGAGTTAATGAAACAAAGAATAATTGGGGAAACTAAATCTTTAATAGGGCGAATTTCTGCTCAGAAATAAAACGGAAACAGAAGATAACAGGAGAGCGTCGCGGGCGTCGAAGTCGGCGTAACACCAGTATCGAACGCCGAGGCGAAACTGACTGCGGCTGGCCACGCGGAGCCCCTTATGTAGATGCGTGGGCTTCTGGAATAATCGGCGTAGAAGGTTTGACGCATAGAACATTCGGACCTTGAACAAGCAACAAGATTCTCGAATTACCAGAACACAAAATTTCAGAAATAACAACAGATGCGTCGCTTACTGGAATCGAACCCTGGCTTTTTGCGTGGGAGGCAGGCACCACAACCGTTAGGCTACGCGCGCGCTGCCTACTTGGCCAGCTGCGAGCGCGGCATTACACCTCCCTTTAAAAATTGCATCGCCCCGATGCAACACAAAACAAAACAAACCAAATAAAAAGAACGGTAATCTACAGAGTTATTTAAGACACATAATGTCCAAAGTTCTATCGAGCGTGGTACGGCCTCGGGCGCACGACGTGGACGACTTCAGGTCGTGGTAGGCGGCGTGATGATGTTCTTGTTCCGTCGGGCATCACCTCGTAGTTCAGAACTCCAAGTCGACGAAGTACTTTGCAGGCTTCGAAATACCGTTTCAGGAGTTTCTCGTTCAAACCACAGCGGTGAATCGGTGTCCAGAGCCATACCCTGTTTCCGGGCTGGAAGTGGACGTCCCGACGAAGAAGGTTGTACCGGGTAGCGTCGACACGTTGGTGATTTTGAATTAAGAGTCGGGCGAGCTGGCGAACTTCCTCGGTTCGTTGAGCAACCACCTGGGCGTCGGGACTTCCATCGTCAGCTGGTTCGTGGGGTAGCATCGCGTCGAGCATGGTCGTTACTTTCCTGCCATGCACCAGCTGAAACGGGGTTGCTCCTGTGGTCTCTTGCACCGCCGTGTTGTAAGCAAACGTGAAGTAGGGTAACACCTCGTCCCATGTCTTCTGCTCTACGTCGACATACATGGAGATCATGTCGGCGATTGTTCTGTTTAGCCGTTTTGTTAGTCCATTTGTCTCCGGATGGTACGCAGTCGTTCGACGGTGGCCGGTGCCACTGACACGAAGGATCTCTTGCGTCAGCTGGGCCATGAACCATGATCCACGGTCGGTAATGAGGACTTCAGAGTCGCCGTGCCGGACGACAATGGACGCGATGAAAAACTCGGCGACTTCAACAGCCGTACCTGGTGGAAGGGCTTTCGTCTCGGCGTACCGTGTGAGATAATCGGTGGCGACGATTATCCAGCGGTTTTCCAACGTTGACTGTGGGAAAGGGCCAAGTAAATCCATTCCGATCTGCTGGAACGGCGTGGACGAGGGAGAAATCGGATGCAGAAGTCCTGACGGCTTCGTCGGGGGTTTCTTGCGTCACTGACACTCGTGGCATGATTGAGTGTAGAGGTGAACGGTCTTCGGTAGCCTCGGCCAGTAGTACTTTTCTCGAATCCTGGCGAGCGTCCTGCTGTAGCCAAAGTGTCCAGCCGTTAGGTCGTCATGGCATCCTTGGAAGATTTCTTCTCGAAGGCTGCAAAGAATAACCAACAGTCATGCTGTGCTGTTGTTGACAAAGTTCTCTTTGTACAGCACCCCTTGCCGTATGGAGAAGGTGGGCAGGATTCGTAAGAAAGCACGGGGAACCGTACTCGCTTGTCCCTCTAGGTGCTCGATGAGCGCTCGTAGTTCAGGGTCGTCTCGTTGGAGTGTTGCCATGTTGCTGACATATAGAGCGCCGAGAAAACAGTTATCGTCGTCTTCTTCGATGCAGGCAGGACCGGCCTCGACTGGGGCCCTTGGCAGGGAGTCGGCGTCATTGTGCTTCCGGCCAGATTTCTACGCCACGGTCATGTTGAACTCCTGCAGTCGTAGGCTCCACCGGGCGAGGCGTCCGGAGGGGTCCTTCAGATTCGCGAGCCAGCAGAGCACATGGTGGTCCGTGACGATGCGAAATGGACTTCCATAGAAATATGGGCGAAACTTTGTTATTGCCCAGACGACAGCAAGGCACTCCTTTTCAGTCGTTGAGTAGTGCGTCCCCGCCTTGGACAGCATCCGACTCGCGTATGCGATGACTCGCTCTGCCCCATCTTGCATTTGGACCAGTACCGCGCCAAGTCCGGTGTTACTGGCGTCCATGCGGATCTCTGTTTCAGCGAACTGGTCGAAATGGCCAAGAATCGGGGGCGTCTCGAGTCATCGTTCAGGCCATCGAATGACCGCTGGTGTTATTCTGTCCATTCAAACTTCAGGGCGTCCTTCGTGAGGTTCGTCAGGGGTGCAGACAGCTTGGCGAAGTCCCGAACAAACCGTCTGTAGTAGGCACAGAGTCCGAGGAATCTTCTCACGGCCTTCTTGTCTGATGCGGCGTAAATGCAGCTACGGCGCGGGTCTTCTCAGGGTCAGGGAGAACACCTTTGTTGTTCACGACGTGGCCAAGAAATTTAGTTCACCATGGGCGAATCGACACTTTGTTGGCTTGAGTGACAGGCCGGTGGTCTTGATGGCTCGAAGCACGGCTCGAAGTCGCCTCAGGTGTTCGTCTCAGGTGTTCGTCTAGGTAGACGAGGCATCTCTGCCATTTCAGACCTGCCAACATGGTGTCCGTGACACGCTGGAAGGTGGCTGGTGCTGTACAAAGTCCGAACGGCATCACTTTGAATTTGTACAGTCCGTCGGGAGTGACAAAAGCAGTTTTCTCCCGGTCGCGCTCGTCGACCTCAGTCTGCCAGTACCCGCTCTTCGGGTCCATCGACCAAAAATATCGGGAGTGACGCAGTCTGTCTAACGTATCGTCGATGCGGGGGAGCGGTTAGACATCCTTCTTCGTCACAGCGTTCAGTCGACGATAGTCCACAGAAGACCTCAAAGTTCCGTCCTTCTTCTTTAGAAGGACGACTGGAGACGCCCACGAACTTCTTGAGGGCTGAATGATGTCGTCGTTGAGCATTTCCTGTACTTGATCTTGAATCACCTTCCTTTCCGTTAGGGATACTCGATACGGCGACTGGTGGACAGGGAGCGCGTCGTCGTGTGTAATAATGCGGTTTCGCCATTGGTGTTTCGTGAACTTTCGACGACGTGGCAAAACAGTCACTGTATTCGGCGAGGAGATCAACCAGTTGCCGGTGCTTAGGAGCTGGGAGCTCGGGGTCGATGTCGAGCGGCGGCGGAGACGTGCTCTTCTGCTGTGACGACGAGGTTTCCTCGGAGATTGCGGTGACCACAGCTGGCGCCTGAAGCTCCTCGACGTGGCTCACGGTGGCAGTCCTGGGTAAGTTACTTTTAAAAAAATTAATTCGTTACAGTTACAGTTACTTTCACATAAAAAGTACCGAAGTTATTGTTACAGTTACCGCAACAAAAGAGTAACTCGTTACAGTTACAGTTACTTCTAAAAAGCACCAAGTTTGTTTTCAGTTGCTTTTCTACAACACAAAAAATTAGGAAAAACTAGAAAACGCTTCTCACCAAGTTTTATTGCATAAAATTAAAAAGTACGGTGGTTACGCTTTTGTTAGCAACCACCTTTACCACAGAAACATAATCTCTGTACGCCGGCCATGATAGTTTTACTTTGTTATCATCAACATTCATTTCCTTAGCAGCACTAGCCCATTGCTGGCTCGTTGACGGTTGCGCTGGGTTCATAGGGTCCGTGGCCCTGCACATATTTAAGTTCGTACCCTGCAAGCCAGAAACAAACCCCGCGCAAACAGCAGTTAATTTTGCCTCGACTGTTGACACCACGCCGGGGTCGTGACGTAAATCAAAATACGCCACTACTCCGGCGTCCCGCGTGCCATCCGCGTGTCTTGTTGTTTCACGGTTGACGCACCAAAATAAAAAGCTTTTGCGCAGAAAAAAAAAACAACTCAACATAGATAGTGCTTTAAGATATTAAGATGTAAGTGTTGAGTCACAAATCACAATCCCATTTGTAAAGGATAACTAGATTTTTTTTTCATCAATTCTACACGTGGCTATATTCAAGTCGTGACTCGCGAGAAGGAAGGTATACCCAAGTTTGTGCAAGGCCAACTTCACACTCGAAGTGTTAAAACAGACAATTTGGAAAGTGCAAGGTATACCTAGATTGTACTCGTTCAATGATATATTATTCATAAAAAAATGGAAAGTAACGACAAAAGTAACGTCGTTACCTCCATCGTTACCTAAGAAAAAGTAATATAACTACAGTTACAAGTTACATTTTTAAAAAGTAACTCGTTATAGTTACAAGTTACCAAAAAAGTAACGAAGTTACTGTAACGCGTTACTAGTAACGCGTTACTATATAAGACTGCACGGTGCATGGCACCCTTCGTTAGGTGCTGCGGCTCCTCTCGAAAGTTTGCCACGAGAACAGTTGTACGTCCTTCTTGGAGATCCATTACGCCTCATGCGACGCCAATTCCTTTTTCAAGGAGCTGTTGGACGCTGCCTTCCAGAAAAGCTTCACCGTGTATGGCTGCGTCGGTTATGACGGTGACGAAAATACTCGACCGCGGCGGCAGGTTCACATGATCGGCAACAACTCGGATCGCGGTTGACATCGTGTTTGTCTCCACCGGCGGCAGAACAGGCTTTCGCACCGTCAGCTGGTTTGCCCCGAGGTCGAAGACGGCGCCATACTCGCTGAGAAAGTCCATTCCGAGGATAACGTCCCTCGCACAGTCTTGCAGAACGACGAACTTTACAGGGCACGTCTCACCGTGAATCTCGACGCGAGCAGTGCATCTTCCGACTTTGTGGAGCGCTTCATTGTGCCCGTGTTCTGAAATTCGCTCGAACTTATTACAGGGTAAAAGTTTTGTACCTTGGCGTCCGAAAACCTACCTGCGCGCAGTCTTTCTCTGTGTTGTCACGTAACAGGACCCGCCGGAGTAACTGGGATCTTTTTTTTTAATGTGATTTGGAACAGAACCCGTGACGTAATGCGGACGCAGTCGTTGGTGACGCTGCCGAACAGCTGGCAAGATCAAGTTTCTGGATAAGAGCTTCCTCCAAGAAGCGACATTCCTTGAAGTGCCGACTGCGTGGCTGTGCAGGTTTTAGGAAGCGAATGGCGGCGTACAGAAGAAGACTAATCTGAGTGACGCCATTTTGTTGCAGCGGAATGTGCTTTGTTGTTTGTATTCGTTGTCGTTACTTGTAAAAATAAGTATCAAGGGACTTTATATGCCAAGGCGGAGCGGCGCGCCCTATTTAGGTGTCACTGGCTCGCAATTTGAACGAGGGCGGTTTCCTTAGAATTCGAGATTCCTGATAATATTAAAATATAATTAGAGAGCGTAATCTTTTATATAACTCCCATTCGGGTGCTTGAATCGTCTTGATCAGCACGCCTAAAATGTATATAAATATTTTGTTTTCGTTTTTGTTTTTCACGGAGGAATGTCCAGCCTGACTACTGGTTGAATTTAATGCGTGAAAATTACGCTATCCTGCAAATTATGTCTGCTAATGCACGACACCGAGAGCTATGCAAATTTGAACACATAAGACGAAACATACTTGGCACTTTTTTGTTATATAAATACTGCATTAATGATTGGGGTTGACTCAGCTGTAAATGAATCAACCAATATCGTTTATGTCAGTTCATCATTATTCAATATGTACGTTACACAAGCGATTATTCCTACAAACACCCTAAAAATTTAGTGAACAGGTCATCTTTTGCACAACGGAAACACCCGAGACGGTCGAGCAAATGAGATATAAGAATCGAAATTCACTCACACTGAATCAAAGGAGATCGCAGTGTTCCTTGGCTTCTCCTGGTAATTGGTTTCGGAGCGGACTTGATGGTAGCGTTTTATGGGCGCAGAAAACCTGCTTTTATAGAGGATGTTTTCGGCTGTTCATTCCACCGCGCTGAATCGCCAGCTGCGACAGTACGCGATGCATGCGCCGCATCCGGCCCTAGGGAACGTCATGGCGGCGCAGCACAGCATACTTGCGTGTACTCAGCCAGCGAGGAGCCATGCTCTTTCTGCATCCGGCGGACAGCGGTATGCAGAGGACCAATGTGTTTTTTTGTTGTTTTTTTTTTTGTTTCGTGCCGAATCACGTGCGAGACAGGTACTCCTAAGTTCATTTGTGAGAATTCGGGTTTAATCGAGAAATTCAGTATTTTGGAGCAATATATAGAACAAGTTATAATTTTTTTTTTGTATTTTTGTTTTTGTGGAAATGAGAGAGGTTTTGGAGGTTTTCATTGTGTGACCTTGTGATGCACTTCCTTTGGAGTTTCCGTCTACCTTGCGGATCCTCCAACTTTACGTTGGGGAGGGTTCCACAATAAAAAGTCCTTTGGGAGGTTGCATTGTTTTTGTCATCTTTTATGTTCTGGCTTTACGCGCCTTGTTCCCAGTCCTTTGAAGCTGGGGTTTGAAGTATTTTCATTGTCCGAAATGTTTAAATAGTTCTCAACGTATGAGGGCATTTTCAAGGTTTCTATAGAAAGGAATCACGAGGTTTACGCTTACGCAATCAGAGCTTCGTGAGTACATGAAGTGTGCATGGGTTTGAAATGTGGTACTGGTCCTACTTTAGCGCCATCATTTGACTGATTGGTCGGCCTTATCTACCGTAGCACTTCGTATCGGCAGCTTGCGTGCTTGGAATTTAAACACACGGCCACTTGTACGAAAGCAGGGGGGGAGGGGGGGGGGGAGGCTACAGCGAGTTCTCGTGGTAGAGGAGAGCACCCGCTCCTAAACCTGGCTGTTACCAAGAAAACATTGAAAGTTATGCATTAATATGCAAAACCTTTTAAACTACCGTCATGTGAATTTATTACAATCGTATAAAGCAATTTCGACCAGCAGCTGGGTGTTTTCGAGCTCTGTTCGTGCGTAAATAGGTTAGTATAAATAAGCCACTATAGGGTGATTTCAGATAAAATCGACCAAAGGATGGATAGTCGACATTTTCAAATCAACTGATGTTTTTATATGTTATTGTCTAGTGTCTGGTATGAACGAATCCAAACTTAGTTTTGACTAGAAAAAATACTTGGGGACAGGAAAAATCGTAAGGCATGAGGTGGTGGACAGTTGCATTAACGCGCACTGATGGAGGGGGCCAGTTTGAGAGTGAATAACTAAAGCGATAACATTAGGAGAACTCTAATACGTTTTAGGCGCAAACTATGGGTATAGCTTGCTTGTAATATAAAGTAATCATATTTATTTAAAATGTATTTATTTTTCTAAAAATTGACAAACATGCCTGCTCGAACGACAAATGGCAAACTTTGGAGGTCTGTATCTCATGAAATAATTTAATCATTATGATATAATTTGCAGATATTATTCTACTAATATATAGCTAATATTTAAAAAATAACTAAGGTATCTGTGTGATACAATAGTTAGGATATATTTAGTCAAACATGGAAAAAAAATCAAACAAAGAAAAATTCCGATGCGAATAAAAAAAAAACACCACCCTCGATTTTTTTTAAATTTAGGTAACCTGTTATACTCTATTTCGGCATTCATTTCCATTAAAAACATGTTGCATCATTTTATTGAGAAAGAAGATACAACTCCCCAAAGTAGGGTCCTTTTTCAAAGCCTACACTTATTTATTATTTATTTATTTATTGATACTGTCAGCCCTAGACAGGGCTTTTACAGGAGTGGGTAATACAATGCAGTAAATCACATACATGCAAACAACGATGCACAATAAGGAAAAAAAAAAGAGAGAACGGCGGCAGAGAATACTAATACCTGCTGCGACAAAAAGCACGAAAAGTAAGGAAAAAAAGATGCTGTTATTATATGACTTGGTGACTAGACAGGCAATGATACAGCGTTCGAAGTGCTCAAGTACTTATACAAATGAACGCCAACACAACAAGTGAAAAAAAAAATGATGGAAATGGACTCTGAGGTTAAGAGTAGAACACTAGATAGGCATCGTGATTAATCAACATTTACGACGCGTGACAAAGTACTAAGCTCTCGACGTTTTTAACAAACTCATTGATTGAGGTTAGGGTGACAGTGCCACTTGGCAGAGTATTCCACTCCGTAATTGCTCTAGCAAAGAAACTATACTTGAAGCAATCGTTTCTAACAGACGGCTCTCTTATGTACATAGCATGACGGTGCCTTGTGGATTCACCCAAGCGTATGTCCATGTAGTTAGATTTTTTTATGCAAATTAAATCATGAAAAATTAAGAAGTGTTTTATACAGCAGTGTTTAAACACTGCTGTATAAAACACTTAGCACTCAGAGTCAGTTCTTGTATAAAACACTTAGCAGTGTTTTATACAAGAACTGAGTCTGAGTTCCAGTTTCATGAAACCAACACACATCTTTTATATATTTTTATTCAGATGAGGCCAATGATAACTAAAGAAATCGTTCACACACTTAAATTAAGGAGAAACTACTGTGTACAAAGAGGTATCATATTACGGACTAGTGATCCGAGAAAAGATCATGCAGCCATCGGCCACTAGGAACTTTGTTCACTTTATTCTCCTGCGACACTATATGCTATTCCCTCTTCCGCTCTACCTTCATCTCTCTCTCTCTCTCTCTCATATATATCCCTGATATATATCCAGAACAAAAACATGTTCAAGCATTCCCTTTCTGCGTGGTAGTGTTCTGTGGCTAGCAAAAATCATTTCCTCGCTAAGCTCACGATTATGGCAAAATAGTTGCCGGAAACCGCAGACGACACTCGTCGCTAGTTCTGGCAAAACGGCCGATACAATCTTTTTTTCGCATTTCCCCGCTCGCTGTCATGGACAAGGGGGTTCGCTTCAACCAGCAAAACATGGCCGCCGACGCCTGTTTACTGAGCAGTCATGCCTGTCGCCATCTCACTCGCTGGCGTCACGGGCGATAATATCAGGCACAAAGGGGCACACCAACCGGCAGCATTATCCCCAAATACTCGAGCCTCGCGTAAATACATAGAGTGTAAACGCTGTCGCCATGTTATCGTAGTAAGACCGCCCCCCCCCCCCCTCCCCCAACGGGGGACTGCAGTACGCGACGGCGTACATAACACAACGGCGACGATATCGACATCGCGGGCTCCGAATTTTCCCATAGTTCTACTCCACGGGCATTTCTCGAAACGCTTGATATTGTGTACGCCCGCCTGGAAGGATTTCAGGCGCCTAGTTAAGATAAGGCGGTTCTCCGCGGCAAAAGAAAGCAATTTCACAAAAGCTTAAAAGCGGCGGCGACGCGTGTGCGGTGAACGCTTGTAGTTTTGGTGTAGACAGGGTGTGTGTGTTCTCGTTGTTGACACCAGCCGGCGATAAGGCACTGCAGGCGGTAGCTGAGTACAGCAAGGGCTAATCCGAGTGACCATCAACGTAACCCCACCGCCAACCCCTCGCGAACCGGTCGCCGACATGGCTCAGGCTGTGTCATGAACCACGTGGTAGAAGCTCGGGTGCTTTCATATCAGCGCGTGGAGGGACGACAGTGCGATTCCGGAAAGTCTTTTTCGAAGGCCGCTGACCACAATTTTTTGTCTGGAGACTTTCCCTCTTTCTTCCTTTGACGTGGATCAAGCTTTGCCGACAGCCTCAGTTGTGACCTCTCTTTTCAAATGTACGTTTGCAGTGAGTGAGCTCCTCAGCCTCGGACTTGTCACTTGTGCACCCAGTAGTTCTTTCACTTGGCAATTATATGCCATCAGTTGGGGTTTAATTTCTATTATTTATGTATACATTATGAAGACGTCCTGGAGCTCCGAACGAGTGTTTTGTGCAGATTACTTTTGCAAACACAAAAAGACTATACCAAAGCAGCGGAATTTTCGAAGTGTTGGTGAGTTGGACCTAAACTCGTTGAAGCAAATTCTTCCGCCTGACTGTTCCACCAAAGTGAGTGCGACGGACTACCTGTGCTACCATTGCTTCATGCACATCACTAAGGAGATCTCGATGCGAAGCTCAGAGCAGTGCCCTGACATATTTGTGCCAGCTGAAGAAGCAATTGAAGATCTAAATCGCAGCATACTACCTACAGATGTGTCGCCGCTGAGACAACCAAGCGTCGTAAGAAGTCGGGACAGGCCTGCCAATGTCAAGAGAAAGCAGACAGAACTGGAGCAGGTTGCTGTCAAGAATATACGCTCAAGGCTACGTATTGCGTACGACAGGGACGCACCATCGGGGTCGTCCGAACCAACATGCTCCACATGCACTGAGTGGGTGGACAACTTTCGGCAGGCCTTTAAAACCGCCACCTCTCTCCGGGAACGTTGTCAACTGCTTACACTCCTGCCGTCAACACTGACGAAGAATGAGGTTCAAAAGATGATTCCACAGGCCTCAATGTACCTCATCAGTAAATCCCGAAAACTCAAGGAAAAGCATGGCGTGTGGTATGAGCCGGATCCTTACACGAGGTGCAAGGTGAGCCCTGAGAACCTGTCTGCTGCCCTAGAGTACTTCACGAAAGACGACCTACAATGTTCGCGCCAAAGTCCCAACCAGAAGGACGTCATCTCTGTCATGCTCAACGGAGAGAAAACGTTCGTGCCAAAGCGCTTCAT